GAAATAATGACAATTGCATCATAAATCTTTGAAATTAAACAAGCTTATTACTTTCAACAATAATAATAAATAGTCACTTTAATATAATTTACACTGAGAAGTTTAAACTAAACTAAATATTTTAAAATACATTTTATCAGTTAATATATATTTGTTTTCATTTGTATACCCGCCCGTAGGGCGGGTTTGGCCCTAGTTAATTATAATTAATCTTAAGCAACAACCTTAAGAAACTGCAATAAACCTGCTCTAAATAAGAGGGATCAATGTCGTCGTCGCAGATGTATTTAACGATGCGTTTTAAAGACTTGTCGTTAATTCAAAGATCAGACGAGTACAAACATTATCATAAGTGGGCCAGACAATAAAGTATGGGGAGCTATGGATTCATTACCAAGTCTAAAGGACGACATCAGTCGATTTCCTTTACAGACTTGTTTTATTCTTTACTAATATTAAGCATGCATGGAATACCAAATTGTTAACGGTCATTGCCCTTTCTGATTTAATGTTTTCGGTTACCAATACTACCACCACCACCTCCAGCTCCAACTCCTACGCCAACATTTGCTCCGCCTCCTACACCAACATTTGCTCCGCCTCCTACACCACCGCCGACTCCTCCTCCACCCCCTAGACCACCACCACCACCAGCTCCTCCTCCAACACCGCCTCCGGCTCCAACTCCTACGCCAACATTTGCTCCGCCTCCTACACCACCGCCGACTCCTCCTCCACCCCCTAGACCACCACCACCACCAGCTCCTCCTCCAGCACCGCCTCCGACTCCAACTCCTCCACCACCACTGCCGCCAAGTCCTCCACCTCCTCCAACCCCACTGCCAAGACTGCCGCCACCACCTACACCACCTCCAACTCCACCACCGGCACCACCACCAGCGCCTACTCCGCCTCCAACACCTCCTCCAACATTTCCTCTGGCACCACCTCCCACAGCACCACCAACTCCACCTCCTGCTCCTACACCACCGCCAACTCCACCTCCAGCTCCCACACCACCACCACCACCACCACCAGCACCTCCACCAACTCCTCCTCCACCTCCTAATCCACCGCTACCACGTCCACCACCACCAATTCCTCCTCCGGTTCCTACTCCACCGCTACCACGACCTCCTCCACCAATACCACCACCTATACCTCCTCCAACACCCCCTCCGATAGCACCACCTACTCCACCTCCAACACCACCTCCACCAAAGCCACCAGCACCACCACCTGCACCACCACCTACTCCACCTCCAGCACCACCTCCACCAGAGCCACCT